GTGGCCCTGGCAGCAGTCACTGGGAACCCCTTTGATGAAATCACTATGCTTTTGTAGATTTCCTGGTGGGAGTCTTTTAGCCCTGTGTGCCTGGTGTAAAAACTGCTACAATAGCAGCTGCTTTCATTGCAGTGAACTGTGAAAAGTCCAGATGTGGTAAAGTTGGTGAGACTGATGGTATAAAGATTTGTTTGGGTGTTGAGAAGAATGGAAGACTGGAGAAGTAGCAGATGGAGTGATAAAATATTTCTATTCCTTTTTCTTCCCAACCTATAATAATGTACTCAATGTGACATGGACTCTATTCTGCCATCTTACCCTGAAGTCATTTCTTTTTTTAGTGTTTGAAGGAGGCTTCATACTTATTTACATTGTTTCTGCTCATATTTATATCCCAACAAACAGTACAGGGATTGTTCCCCCTGCCTCCTCCTCAACATTGGTTGTTTTTTAACTTTTTGATAAGAGCCATTCTCATTGGGGTGAAATGGGATCTCAATGTAGTTTTGATTTGCATTTCTGTTATTAAAGACTTGTGGCTGTATGAGGTTGTTTCTAGGCCCTTGGTTCAGTTCCACTTATCTATATGTCTGTTTTTGTGTCATTACCTTGCCATTTTGTTACTCTGATTTCTGTAATGTAATTTGAAATCAGGCACTGTTACCTCCGTCAGTATTTTTGATCAAAATTTCTTTGTTGATATTGTGATGGTATAAAGATTTGTTTGGGTGTTGAGAAGAATGGAAGACTGGAGAAGCAGCAGATGGAGTGATAAAATATTCCTATTCCTTTTTCTTCCCAAACTATAATAATATACTCAATGTGACATGGACTCTATTCTGCCATCTTACCCTGAAGTCATTTTTTTTTAGTGTTTGAAGGAGGCTTCATACTTATTTACATTGTTTCTGGTCATATTTATATCCCAACAAACAGTCGTAGGGATTGTTGCCCCTGCCTCCTCCTCAACATTGGTGGTTTTTTGACTTTTTGATAAGAGCCATTCTCATTGGGGTGAAATGGGATCTTAATGTAATTTTGATATACATTTCTGTTGTTAAGGACTTGTGGTTGTATGAGGTTGTTTCTAGGTCCTTGGTTCTGTTCCACTTATCTATATGTCTGTTTTCATGTCATTACCTTGCCATTTTATTACTCCGATTACTGTAATGTAATTTGAAATCAGGCACTGTTACCTCCATCAGTATTTTTTGCTCAAAATTTCTTTGTTGATATTAGGCCTTTTAAAAATTTCATATAAATTTTCAAGTGTTTTTCAATTTCTAAGAATGTCATTAGAATATATTTTGAAACTTTTCAAATATCTCCCTGCAACAATTTCAAAGACTTCTGAATTACACCAAGAATAATCAGAACTGACAACACCTATTTTCAGCAGTTTTCTGCATTACTCAGATATTCCTTTTGCAGTGACAAACAGCCCACATAAGACAGGAATAATTTACTTTTGTGCCTGGTTTTGGAGTTTTCAATTCATTATGGCAGGAGAGTATTGCAGACTGGAATCACTAAGAGAATAGAATAATGGAAGTAGAGAGACCAGGGACCAGGCAAACCATCTAAAGCACACCCCAGTGACACACATCTTCCAGAAGTTTCCAGAACCTTCAAAAATACCAATGTCAACGGGGAACGAAACATTCAACACATAACTTTGGGGTCTCAGAGAGGGTGACATAAATGTTCCATTTAGAGTTGTGAACTCAATGTCAATTATTCTCAGTGCTTTGAACAGGCATGAGTCCCCTATTTGACCATCACCTATTGCCAATTGTGGCTTCTCTGACAAAGACTGAGAGCTTCACTAGTTAATTAATATAGACGTAAATATTAGAAAGCAGTTAACATGGCTATCAAACAAGACATCAATAGTAGATCCCCTGCTTAGGACCTATGACCTCTCCAGCCCTAGGCTTTCTGAACAGGTTTATGGTACCAAGTGAAGTGACAAAACTAACTCCATTTTCTCCTAGCTGACTTTTTCCTACCCAGTGTTTCTGCCCAGCTCCCTCCTACCTCTTGCTAAATGCAGCCAGCCATGAAAGCTCCACCTGTATTACATGGTGTACATGGTTTGTACAATACTGAGAAACTTACAACTAGCCAGGCAGAACACCCTCTCATTCCACTATACCTACATCTCCATGGAGCTCATTGTTTCTGGAATTCTGAGAAACTTGTTTTTCCTAATGAAAACTTAGATACTTTTCATGAACTGAAAACCTCTTTGCTAACTGACTTGCCCCTGCTTTGGTGTAATTATAGTTATTGATTTTGCCCCCAGTGAGATGTAATTGTGTTTTTTTTTTTATTTTATTTTATGTTTATGCATGTATTGCCTGCATGTAGGTAAGTGCTCCTGTATTGTGCAATGCCAATGGAGGACAGAAGAGGCTGTTGGATACCCTGGAACTGGAGTTATAGGCAGTTGTTAGCTGCCACGTGGGTGCTGGGATTTGAACCCGGGTTTTCTGCAAGAACAGTTAATGTTCTTAACTGTTGAGCCATATATCCAGCTTTGTGGTTTTAAACTTTACAGATCCTTCTCTGTCTTTCCTCAGCATGGAGAGTTCTTTCTGGTGATAGCCTCTCTTGACTACTGGCTATTATTAGTGGACTCAATTCAAACATCACTATATGGCATTCTTTGTGTTTGAATTTGGCATTGCATTTTTTGAGGCCCCAATGAGATAGCTATTCAAGGGGCTCAGCCTTGTTCTCCCTGGATTTATGAATTGTTGCAGGGGAGAGGGCTCCTGAGATCCAGAGTTCTGGGTTGTACCTCAGGTCAGGAGCAGGGCCATGGGGACTCTACAGCAAGTCGACCGTCTATTTTCTGAAAAACTTCAGGTCCTGACTGCTCTTGAGAGTTGGACACTTTTCACTGGACTCTTCTAATAGGAATCAGGGGACATCCCAAAAGCCCACAAATCTATCCACATCCAAGGTTCACTAAATTTCTCCTTTCTTCTTTTTGGAGAAGCCCTTCAGAAGAACTTGTCAAGATTCAGGGCCTCTTATCTTGATTCAACACTGCTCCTGTGTCAGTCCCTTCCCCTACGGGGCCTCGCTGTTGTCCCGGAGCCTTTGAGCACTGTCTGGGTAGAGGAGGGCTGGAGGAGGGAGAAGCCCGTGGGGGAGAGAAGGTCTTGGCAGCGGCAATTACCATGGAAGAAATACCCGGGAGACTGTGTCAGCGAACAGCTCATTTTAATATGGCGGAAGAAGTTTTTATAGGGAAGTTTTGAGGACAAAGAGGCGGGGCTGAGTGTTTGGCAGGCAGGCAGGTAGGGGAAAGAGGGGACTTCCAAAGCTACGTGGCCTCTGCTCATGGTACTTTCTGTCCTGTTATCTGGTCACATAATTTACACGGAACCTGGTGGAAGCTTAGCCTAGAGACATTTGGGTAAGAGATCATGGGAAAGCCAGCATGTCCAGAATGGAGTGGGCCGACTCCTGCCGTCCTCAGTAGGAGGTCTCCAGGGTTATGTGTCCCTGCTCTACATCCTGATCATTTTGGCCATATCCCAACACTCCAGTATATGGATGGCCTCCTGTTAGCTGTTTCTGACCCTGCTTACAAGACATTCCTAAGACATGCTCCAGCTGCTCCAGGACCCAAGCTACCATGTCTCCATGAAGAAAATTCAATTTTTGCGAGACAATTCACCTACTTGGGGTACAAACTCTCTTGAGGTAAGGGACTCTTACTGAGGCCCAGAGGGAATCCATCCTTCAGATACACATGCCCCAATCTAAAAAATCACATACTCAAATTCCTGGGGTAAGTGGGATATTGCCAACTTTGGATCCTGGTATTTACTGAATTAGCAAGGCCCTTCTACTCACCCATGGATAGAGATAGAGGAATGAGCTTTCCAAAACCTAAGAAGGTCCTAACTCTGGTCTTGCCTGATGTGCACCATTTCATTCATGATGCTTGGGAGATGGCAAAAGTTGTACTTACTCAGACTTTCAGACCCTGGAAAAGTCCTGCTCTTATCCAAGTACCTAGACCCAGCAGCTTCTGCATGGCCCTAGAGCATAGTGACTCCTGCTCTACTAGTAAAAGACTGAGGAGTTCACCTTGGACCAAGAATTAACCCTTATGAACCCTTGATCAGTGTCTTAATCTTTTCAAAGAACCAACTCTTCATTTCATTGATTCTTTATAATTTTTTTTTGTTTCTATTTAATTTCAGTCCTGATTTTGATTATCTCTTCTAGTCTACTCTTTTGGGCCATTGATTGTTGTTGTTTTTCTAAGGTCTTCAGGAATATCATTAAGTTATTAGAATGAGATGAGACATCTCTCAGTTCAAGATATATGCACTTACTGCATAAACTTCCTTCTTGGAAATGAAGTCACTATGCCTCATAGATTTTGGTATGTTGTGTTTTCATTTTCATTAAATTTTAAGAATTAAAAATTTTTCATTCAGTGTGTTCTCTAGTTCCATGGGTTTCTGTATTTCTTTCCCATTTCTTTTGTTGTTGATATCCAACTTACTCCTTTGTGGTCAGAAAGGTCACTGAATGTTTTTCCAATTTTTAAAAATTTGGTTAATCTTGCTTTGTGCCCTAATATGTGGTCAATTTTCTAAATAGTTCCATGGGCTTCTGATAAGAAGGTATGTTCTTTGGTGCTTGGGTGGGATGTTCTGTAGATTTATTAGGTCTACTTGATTTATGATGTCATTTGACTGTAGGGTTTCTCTGTTGAGTTTTTCTCTAGATGACCTGTCTCTTGGTGAGAATCCTGTTGGGATTTGCTTGACTCTAGCTGGCTACATCATGAACACTCCAGTTGCATGCTATGATTGGTTTCCTCTATAAAACTCACACTAGTTTCCATAAAAAGCCCCACAAAATAGCTTTGATTTCCTTATTTCTTAGGCTGTATATTATAGGATTTATAGATGGAGGCATCATAGAATAGAAAACAGATATCAAGAGCGGTGGAGAATCAGGAACTGGTTTCAAATAGGCAGTGGCACCTGTGAAAAAATGGAGACAACAATGAGATGGGGCATGCAGGTAGAAAAGGCTTTTGATTTCCCCTGTAACAAGGGCATTCTCAGCATTGTGTTGAAAATGTAACAATATGAAAACCCTATGGAGACCAAGCTGAAAAACCCATATATAAGTCCAAAGATAACACTAATGTCAATGGTGACATGCATCATTGAGCAAGAAATCTTCAGTAGAGAGGGGACATCACAGAAGAACTGTGGCACTTTTCTGGAGCCACAGAAAGAGAGAGAGAAGGAGCCATATGAATATAAGGCCCCAAGGAAACTTCCAAATAGCCAAGAGGCAGCTACCGTCTGCACACAGACTGCCCTGTTCATGATGGTCATAGTGTAGTGGGTGACAGATGGCCACATATGGTCATACAACATGGCTTTGAGGAGGAAAAGCTCAGATGTGTCAAAAGAAACCATGAACAAGACCTGACACACACATCCTGGGAAAGAGATAGCACTCCTGTGGGACAAAGAGCTGAGAATGAGCTTTGGGACTGTGACTGAAATGAAGCACACATTGAGGAAGGACACGTTCTTCAGGAAGAAGTACATGGGGGTGTGAAGACACTGGTCCACAGTGACAAGCATGATGATGAGAAGGTTCCCCATGAGGGACACCAAGTAAATCAGTAGAAACAGAAAGCCCTGGAGCACCTGGAACTGCTTGCTGTCAGAGAATTCCATGAAGAAGAAATCTTTGTAAACTGTGTAATTTGTCATGTTGTCTGCTGTTCACCTACTGTAAGACAAAGGAAGGAAAAGACACATGTGGAGCTCATGCTGATAGTGCATTGATAGACAAGAGGAAGGTTCAGCATGAGCCCCCATATTTGCAACTGTGTTATATTTATAAAACAAGGACATTTTAAAAATGATAAATACAGTTGCATTCTTATTAATTTCTCAGTATGTCATTCTCAGTATGTATTATGATAACATACAGGGTAGGAGGATTAGAGAGGAATATTACAAAAAACTATTTTAGTGGACTTGTCCTCTATTATTTTAATACTTTATTTCTTTTTAATATCATTTAAAAAATTTAAAATGTGTATAAATGTATTGCCCACATGTGTGTAAGTGCACCTATGTTGTGCAGTGCCCACAGAGTAACCCTTGAGAAACAGGTCCTCAAAGGACCTGGGATTATACTGAGTTCAATATTATATAACTGTATTAATTCAGCTGTGAACCTAGAAACTTGTACCCACTTGTGAAAGAGATGTGCTCTTTCTCTGGAGTGTGTTACTGGATATGTTAAAGCTGTAGTGAAATGCTTCTTCTAATCATGTAGTTATTAAAAATTTTAAAAAGAGTAAAAATAAATAGGCTTATTAGGGCCAGCTGTATGGTCTTAAACAGGCAAAAAGAAAGTCTAACCAAAGGTTAAATTGAGCAGAATATTTCTTTAAGAGTTCAAGGGCTTACACTTCCCAGACATTAGGCTTAAGTCCTTATAAAATGTTATTTAGGCAATCATTTCCCATTGATGGTTTTGTTTTCAATCAGAACGTGCTGTGCAGATGTGAGAGTTTAAATCTTGGTCTGCAATACTGTAGTTCCCACCTGTAGCTAAAGGAGACAACCCACTATTTTCTAAAATGATGGCTAAATTTGTCCCCCTCCCATTTAGAAGCTTTTGTGAGGGAAATGACACTGATTCTAGCTACTCCAACAGCTATCAAAGTGCCTGAAAACAAATCCTGAGTCCATCACTTTTGTGTCCAGCCTTGTCAGACAAAAGAAAACAAGGAGGATCCCAATAGAGGGATTATTTTGGAAGCTCTCATCAAGAATTTCCAATGGACTCTGATGTGAACATTTGAAATTTGCCCTGTTTTGACCTTTTTCTGATTCCTTGTCTAGAACTTGTAATGCTAACTACTCTTGCCTTTACATCTCCTTCACATATCATAGGCACCAGTCAAGGACTTTCTTTTCTCCCTAAAGTTAAGAGTTATGCAATTAGGGAGTCTTTTAGATAGACCCACTGAAAGGGTACCCCAGTTACCTCACCCTGAGTCCCTGTTCACCATGGACAAAGCCAGAGTGCTATGTGACCAGATTCCCCACTGGCAAGTGAAAAAAATTAAAATTTGAATAAATGTATTGCCTGCATGCATGTAACTGCACCTATGTTGTGCAATACCCACAGAGGCCAGAAGAGGGCATTAGAGTCCCCAGGAACTGGAGTTACAGATGCTTGTTAGCTACCATGTGGGTGCTGGGATGAAATCCAGGTCCTCTGCATGAGCAGCCAGTGCTCTTGTCCTCTGAGGCATCTTGCCAGCCCCGTGTCCTATTTATTAACACAAAATTTTATACTATTTTCATGAATTCTTAGTCTAAATTATGGATAAAAAATGACTGAAAACAGTAAACTCATAAACCCACTAAGAGAAGAGAGTAATCTGAATCATTTTCATCCTACTTTGAACTCTAAGTAACATAAGCACAGGACACAAAAAGTCTTTATTTTGTTAGGTATATTTTTCAAATGCATAAAATGGGTAGGGATGTAGGTCAGTGGTTGTGTGCTGGCCTTGAAGGCCCAAATCTCTGACTTTGATGTGCAGTACTGTGGGGAAAAAGGCAATGGAGATAAAAGAGTGTATAGGGTATTAATAATTCTGTTATTATAAAATTTTACTGAAAAAATACCATAATGATGGATAAGTGAGAGAAGCATATGGTTATTGGGAAATAGTAACCACTTGTAATATGCCAATTTCTTCTCAATATCTTCTGTCTCTTTCTCACTCTGTCTCCCCACTCTTCTCCCTTGGAAAAAGGCAATGGAGATAAAAGAGTGTATAGGGTATTAATAATTCTGTTATTATAAAATTTTACTGAAAAAATACCATAATGATGGATAAGTGAGAGAAGCATATGGTTATTGGGAAATAGTAACCACTTGTAATATGCCAATTTCTTCTCAATATCTTCTGTCTCTTTCTCACTCTGTCTCCCCACTCTTCTCCCTTTGATAGATTGACAATCATTACCTCATTCAAATAATATTCATACGATTATAAAAGATGATCAGCAAAAGTGAGGAATAACCAAATGCAGGAACTCTTTTGTAAACAATACTGGGTGACTGCTTTGTGGCACTATTTCTGGGTAGATGTGAATGAATGTGTACTCACAACAGATAGGGAAACAATGACAGATCAATCAAACTCACTGGTTCATCAAAGTCCAGTTTGGTGACCCAATGAGTTTTATTGGGGTTTCTTACAGGAATATGGACGAGGAATTACTTAAGGAGCAGAAATGATTAAAAAACAGCTGCATCACCCAAAGTCTACCCCAGCATAGGTGAAAGCTCATGAAAAAATGAAACCTGGAGCTTAAAACCTAACCTTAAGGCAATTGTCAATATGTTGAAGTGGATTCTTTCCAGGTAGCTCAATTGGTCTAAGCCCCTTCAGGCAGCTCAGCTGTTCTCTGTTTCCTCCTGGCAGCTCTGCTTATCTGAGGGTGTCACTCTGGAGTCTTAGGGATGGAGGAGCTTAGTGAACCTGCTCAAATTTAGGGACTTCTAATGCTATTGCATTGTTTATTTTCTGAGCTTAAAGAGCTTCTCTAAAGGATGTAATGCTCCATCTCCCCTGAAAATGGCATGTTGTTTACTCAGCTCCCCTCCAAGATGGAAGGGTGTTTTTTGTTTTTTTCTTGAATGAAATTGCTGCACAATAGTAGATTTAATTGAATTAAAAATTAAAATTTTAGTTGAAGTTCTAGATAAAATGAATGAAAGGAGCAAATTCTTAAACCCACTGAGAGACTATAATCAGAATTGTTTTCTAAATGATCCTGCTCATTCTTAAACCCACTGAGAGACTATAATCAGAATTGTTGTCTAAATGATCCTGCTCTGAACATATAAGCACAGTACATAGAAAGTCTTTATTTTGTGAGATATATTTTAAAAATTCATAAAACTTATTTTCTAAAATTTCTAAAATTAT